GACCTCCTGGGATTCGATGGTAAAATGGGAGCAGGATCACCTGGGAATTACCTGGGGGTCACCTGGGATCACCTGGGGTCACCTGGGATCACCTGGGGTCACCTGGAATCGCTTGGGAATCACTGGGGATCACCTGGGAATCACCTGGAGGGGATCACCTGGAATCACCTGGGATCACCTGGAATCACTGGGGGTCACCTGGGAATCACCTGGAGGAGATCACTTGGGATGACTTGGAGGGAATCCCCTGCCCTGAGATCACCTGGGAATCACCTGGGAATTACCTGGGATCACCTGGAGGGAATCCCCTGCCCTGGGATCACCTGGGAATCACCTGGAATCACCTGGGATTACCTGGATGGGATCACCTGGAGGGAATCCCCTGGGATTACCTGGATAGGATCACCTGGGTGGGATCACCTGGATGGGATCACCTGGGTGGGATCACCTGTAGGAATCCCCTCCTTCCCCCATTCCCACCTGGATCCGTGCCCATTCCTGACCCCTCCCTTGTTCCCAGAGGAGCCCCCGGCCCCGCAGGTGAGCCCCAGGTGAGCCCCCAGACCCCTCCCACCCCACCTGGCCAGCCCTGTGTTCCCACCTGGGAGCACCTGGGACCCCTCCCCGCCCCCCTCACCTGGGCTGTGCCAGGAGGGGCCCGGATGGAGATTCCAGAGGGAAATTCCCGACGGAGAGCGAGGAGGGGACGAAGGTGAGCGGGGACAGAATTCCCGAGGGGGATTTGGGGGGATCTCACCTGAGCTGCAGGTGAGGGCAGGGGCTGCCCCTCCCCAGGAGCTGGAACACCTGGATGATCACCTGGATGATCACCTGGACCTGGATGAGCTGGAGGACCTGGATGAGCTGGATGCAGAAATCCTGGGAATTGCCAGAGCCGGATCCAGGCCGGGGAGAGGCACCGGGAAGGGAATGGGAAAAGGTAAAGGGAATTCCTGTGGGACCGAACCCCAAAAATGTGGGATTGAACCCCAAAAATGTGGGATCAGACCCCCAAACTGTGGGATCACACCCCAAAAATGTGGGATCACATCCCATTAATGTGGGACCACACCCCAAAAATGTGAGATCAGACCCCCAAACTGTGGGATTGAACCCCAAAAATGTGGGACCAAACCCCAAAAATGTGGGATCACACCCCATTCCATGGGATCAAACCCCAAAAATGTGGGATTTTGAACCCCATTCCCATCCCCAGATCCCAGGGTTCCTCTGTCGAAGCCGTTCCCGGAGGAGCCGCCGA